CAAATCAGCTGTCCATGGTCAGTGACCAGAGGGATGCTACTCAATGCATGTGCAGAACATGTCTCTTGTCAATGGGACACAATGCTGGATCATATCAGCACCTACTGCAGCAGCATTTAATGCGAACATCATGCTTGAAGCTGACACCCAGCTGACAGGTTGACAGCAGAAAAGATGAAGAGACGGAAGGAAGAAAGCAAGAGGCCATTATCTGATGCATATGAAATGAAATCCGTCTGGATGTGACATCTGTAGGTCAATATTTGACAAACGATTAACCAAATATTTCTTGAAATGACAAAATATTATTTGCTTGTCACAGTGTTCATCAAAGTGTTCCATTGCAGTTACAGCTACAAAGGCAGACAGACACATGCTGAATATCCAGGTGCATTTCCATGCATTTGCTACAATTTACTACCATTATTGTTCTGTAGTTTTAGTTAAATGCTCATTGATTCAGCATTGTGCACAGCAGGGCAAGAACAAGAGTTGCACACTGCTCTCATAAAAGGCTACACCAGCAGCAGTGATCCACTGCTGCTGCTGCTGAAATGTACCACCTACCACCTCACAGTACTCACATCCATTGTTTGGTCTCCATAAATCCTCAGCAAACATCAAAGAATATCAATAAGTGCTATTTTTTCTGCATAAAGGAACTGAATGACATCCCTCTCCTTCATACGTACTTCCATGTCAGATAACATTTGTCAAATTGCCCCACTGCTGCCATCTGTCACATGGCAACAAAATGGAATAAAACAGTGGTGGGAAGGTTCAGCCTCTACTGCCACATCACTAACATCTACCTCCGTCATCTTAATAAAATAGGAGGCACTACTTTCAGAGCAGACTTCATGCATTTCTGACAGTTATTACAAATGAATTATATACTTTCATTTAATTCATCCCAGACGCCAGCAAATAATTCCCATCTTGTGTTAATTACAGCATGTGAATCTATAAATTGAGTTGTTCAATGGTCAAGTACAAAGGAATCAGTCACTGCATGGTTCTATAACTTTAAATATTAGTAGGATACTGACTGTCACAGTGTGCCACATTTCAATTCCTTCTTTACTTTCTTTTATGCTTAGAAGGACCAACAGCAAGTTTCTTTTCTATCTTTCATAAGTTAATTACTAGGAGTCTCTCTCTAAAAATTCAAATAGAGAATATATGATAACAACGTACTACGCTATTCACTATTCATCTTACTTCTCCTGCAATTAAATACTAAAATGAGGGACAAAATTCATGTCATGTGGTTTAGTGGGTAATATTTCCATGGGTATGTGGATGGTTGGACGAGATGATCTTAGAGGTCATTTTCGAACTTATACTCATTCTATAATCATAATTTAATGACTAAACCTTTTTTTTTTTAAATCATTCATTTGTATAAACTAATTATTGAGCTGAGTCAATATGCAAAATTGACTTCTTAAAGATAAATATCTCACCAGTATATATATGTGTGTGTGTGTATGTGTATAAAATAATTTATGTGTATAAAATAATGGAAGAAAGAAGCATTCAGGTGTATATTTCTATCTGCCACTAAGTAGTTTCAAAATTTTTTCCAGATATCTGCAAAATCCATTCTGAAGCTTTCCATTGAGAAATTTATTAAGGAGGGAAGCAATGAAATTGTACTAATATTTCATATCCTTATAGAACACCTTTTAATCTGAGAATCGTAACTGGACTAAAAGTGGGGAAATAAGAAATATGTCATTCTGAGCACACCATAACATATATATCTGAAGTGGACAGCCACTGTAATTTCCAGCTTTTCATAGCTCATTATAACAGAAAAAAAATTATAGATTTCAGAAGTTATTGGATAACTGAATAAAAATGCCTTCTCTATATGTATTACCCATTATGAAAGGTCAACATTGGACTTCACTGTCTTATTTCTTAAGTGGGAAAGCTCTAAAACATTTATGCTTCCTGATGACTAAAACAGTCTTGTAAAATATGTATGGTAAGTCTAACAAAATGACATACCACATTTAACTACAGAATATGACCTGAATGTGACAGAATATGCTTTTTAAACACAAATAGGCTTAAACACTTTTAAATTAGAATTTTTCCTTTTTTTCACAAGAAAATTAGTAAAATTTACTGTTTCATTTTTGTATATAGGCATTGCCATGATCTTTGCCTTTTTGGTAAATCGAGCACTTCTTAGTTACAAATTTTATAATGGTAAGTAACACCTTATAGGATGTTTTTATTTATATATGCTCTCATTCATATATACATACATGATATATATGGTTTAGTGGGGAACCAGTGGTGATAGGTTGATGATTGAAATGGATGATCTTGGAGGTCTTTTCCAACCCTGATGATTCCATGACTCTATCTATCATATATATGTATAATATATATAGTATATAAATTCATGAATATGAATATCTAATACACATTTTTATGTTTACAAATGCATACAGATTGATAGAAAGAGAGATCAATTCAGAGATGAACCCTATTACTCAAAAGGAAAATTCAAACAGAAGTTTTAAATGGTGAATTCTTCAACTGGAAATTGCTTTTAACCATTATATTTTGGAATATCTAATGGCTAAGCCTAATAAATAATCTTTATTTTTAAAGAGAAGGATATGGTCCATGACTTAGTTGCCAGGCAACTGTATGGCATTGCAAAACACTTTCTTAAGACACTCTGCTCTGTGGAATGATGGATCCTTGTAGTGGGGGGAGGCCCAGACACACAGTTCTCTGTAAAGCTGATTGTAGAAAGAGTTTTGAAGTATTCTAAATACACCAAAGCACAACAGTGACTAAAATTGTATAAGCTGAAGCTCCTTTATGACCATGTTCTTTGTAACATCAAATAGCCACAAATCAGAAGAAATGCCAAGATCTGTTTTACTTACATCCCAGCACTGGGATGTACATCTACCCACAATGATGGCTGGAATGGTCACTGATTCACTGAGGGGAAACACACAACTCAGAACAGCAGTGTTTTTTAAGCCATACCAACAAATTACATGAAATATATTCATGCCACATACAGGTAGAAGAAGAATTTATCCATCGTTATTTTTCGTCATTCTGTATCATTATGTGGATTGTTCTAAAAGGAATTGGTACAAAGACAAGTAAGGATCCCCTCTGGCATCACCTCTAAGACATCATACTTATACTGAAAATGAGCAGCAACCAATGTCCTATACAAAGGTAGCCTTTGTAATCTTTGTAATCTTTGAAGTGAACATAACTTATTTCCAAAGCTTTAAGCAAAACATCAGGGTTAATTCTCCCCACCAACAATGTTTCATGTGACTGTCTCACTTGATCTTCACGATCACTTAGAAAAAGGGACATACAGAACTGAAAGCATACAGGCACGCAAATATAAAAAGCTAGACTGTTACTGACTTTTAAGGCACTTTATTTTTCATGTTGTTGGCACCAACCCCAAGATATCTCTTGACACAGCAGCAAGGTGCAGCTATAATAACTACAACTGCTAAATTCCTCAGAAATGGAAATGAATGCCAAGTAGGACAGCTTACCTCATTTCTCTGAGATGTGCTCTTGAAGATATATATTCTTTCCAAAGAGATGCTTGAAACAGCTTTAATGGCCTCTTCACAGTCCATACCTTGGATATTTCAATTTCACATGCATAAAAAGTTCTGTTTTTGACATATTTGGAATTAGGTGCAGACTGTTGCTGTGACAGACTTTTGCTTGCTGAATTTGATGGGTACAATTTGATGATGCTGGTCAAGATCAGCTGTGAAAACCCACATCTCCATTCTGATTATTATTGTATCTGGGATTTCACTTCTTTTGATGCTTGACATGGATAATCTTTTTGTTGACATTAGTTTGACTTTGCTGAGAAGTACTTTGCCATCATTTAGTCAGCTTGTGAGCTTCTTTTTACAATTCTTGAGATTTCTCCTGGCTGGAAAACCTACCATTCTGCAACATCCACTTCAGAGTAGGGAAGCACGTACAAAACATCAGAGTGAAATGTGTTTCTGATTCAGAAGCAAGGAAAAGCAAACTAATATGAATATGTTATTTTCAGTCAAGGAACTGTTACAATGTAGTGCTATGTGTAGACAGGGAGCTTAGGAGTTACAGGTGCTTAAAACACTTCATATGCAAAAGGAAAGCATTAAAGCTTTCTATTAGGCAGCGAATTGCTCCTAAGACACTAGTTCTTGAAATGTTTCCCTCTCAATCACGAGGTACATGTATTCTACTTATGATGACATGCACAGCAAGATGACATTCTTGCTTTTCCTTTCTGCTTTCAAATTCCTTGCAATAGGGTACATGACCCATGAGAAACCAGAAAAACCCTAGGAATCATAGAACACGCCTTCTCTAAAACACTCTTCTCTGCTGTAGTGTCCTGTAGTGTCATCTGCTGTAGTCAGAATGTACTTTCACAGTTTCCAATATATCTATATTGCTGAGGTGAGTGCAAGTATGAAGGATGGAAGTGATTCCCATATAGGGTACTAAGAAATTTTAGCTCAGTTTCATTTGAAAAACTTTTTGCTTGGATCTTAAAAACAACTCTTCCTACATCTGACCTTGAACTCTGCATTTCTGCCAACAGTTCAGGGCTCAAAATACAACTAGTGACAGCAGTTAGAAAAAAAAGCAACCAAAGATATTTTATTAAGTAAGCAGATGTGAAATGTATTACTCAAAGTCAAGTATACATGGAGCCCTATTGTCCCATCTTTACATTTATTCTGATGAATTGCATTGTACTCTGACCAGGTTTACATAGATTTTTAACATATATTTTTCTGCATTCACTGTCCCTTACTTCTTGATCTAAAACCTAATCTGACATAAAGGTACATTAAATAGATCAGACTGAGAAAATATTTGGGAATAGCTTTTTTAACAAACTAATTTATAGTACATAATTACTAAGTCAGGTATAATAATAGTTCAAAAACTGGACTGTATTACAAAGCATTTCTTCAAACATTCCTTTTGGATTATTGCTGAAAGGTACTAACTGGTCTATTCTAGACTAGCTAACAAACATTCATAAAATAGAGAAAAATGCATGCTTTAGAAATCTGGTTTATTCCTGCCTATGGACTAAAAAGAATGTGAAGTTGGAAGCAAGTGATGAACATTTGTAAATGTGCATTAGTGGCATTTACAGTTTCTTTTCTTTTGTGCTAACAGAATCTTCAAAGTTTTTCTCATTTTTTTCAGGTGATTTTTTGTCTTCAGGTTTAGTCCATGGAGGGTTGTGCAACATCTGCTGAGGGTGAAAGCAGCATCAGTGCAAGCATCCTTTGACAGTGGAAAAAACCATGCAACACTAAGTTTTTTTTATTTATATTTTTAAACTTGCTTCTTTTGGTCTCTCAAATGAAAAGCACAGGTGTACAATTCATGTAAGACTTTTTCATTCGTAGGATTACTGATTACAGCTTGGCATAATTGCAGATTCTCCTACTCTTCCCAATGCTGTGGATATGACCATATTAAATTGAGCCATTTGACTACAAGGCTACTCCAGGTCAAGTATGAAACAGTTTTGAAAACTGTTAATAGCCAAAAGCTATCATGAATAGATGAACTGAAATGTGGAAGAGTGAGAGTCTGTGAACTGAGTAAGCAGTTCTGCCTCAAAAGCATTAGAATAGAATGTGTAGAAATACTTCAAGTAACTTAATGCTTTGCAAGAGCTTTTAATAAAAACCCAACAATTTGTTGGAAATTGAATACCTGCAAGCTTGTCTCTGTTTCTGCTGTCTTCAAATGAGATGTTGAATTACTGTAATTCCCCAGACATGTCTTGCCAACCTGTCAATACAGATATCACAGGTAATTACTGTTGTTTTTTCCTCTAAAATACCCATTTAAAAAAAAAAAATCTAATCATTGGTGACACTTCCCTGGATAGTCTGATCTTCTTGTACATCTTTAGGAATTTAATATTTAGCTTGCTTTTTTTCCTTCTGTTTTTATCTCATAGAATCACTAAAGTTGGAAAAGACCTCTAAAATCACCAAGTCCAACCTCAACCCATTCCCACCATGGCAACCCAGTGCCACAAATTATACATGTTGAATTATGAGTATTGAAATTCATTCCTATAGTGGTTCCATGGAACAGGTGAATAATTACAATCTTCTGTTGCGTGTGAGGAAATAGTAACACTGAAAATTGACATTGGAATTGAGGATTCTGGTGTCCAGAGAAGAACAATGAAACTGGTGAGAGGTCTGGAGCACATGCCTTATGAGGAGCAGCTGAGGGAGCTGAGATTGTTCAGTCTGGAGGAGGGGAGGCTCAGGGGAGACCTTCTCTCTATAACTACCTGAAGAGAGGTTGTAGTGAGCTGGGGATTGGCCTCTTTTCTCATGTAACTGGTGATAGGACTGGAGGGAATGGCTTCAAGCTGCGCCAGGGGAGATTTAGGCTGGATGTTAGGAAATACTGCTTCTCTGAAAGAGCGGCCAGGCAGTGGAATGGGCTGCCCAGGGAGGTGGTGGAATCACCAATCCTGGAGGTGTTCAAGGAATGTTCAGACGTTGTGTTGAGGGATGTGGTTTAGTGACAACTATTGATGATGGATGCATGGTTGGACAGGATGATCTTGTAGGTCTTTTCCAACCTTGGTGATTCTATGATTCCATGACTCTTTTATTGTTCTTCTCTTGTCTGAACTACTAGATCTCTTCTGTATACTAAGCATAGAGCTTATAGAGTAGAGAAGTCAAAGAAATCTCAAGGTATCAGAAGGCTTGTTAGTCTTGATCACTGTCATTTTACTCCAACAAAAACGTCAATTTCTTTGCAAATATACTTTTTTAAATGATGGAAAACAGAGGTGAATAGTACAAAGAAGATGCTGTAAGAATTACATATCAGACTGCAAATCAAAAACACCTCTGCATTATAAGGCTTATGTCTTTAAATGGGACTAAAATTTCTACTGTAATTAAATTAAATGTCCATTCAGGACTAGAATTAATGACTCTATAGGCAAATAAATTAAAATGTGAAACATAGATAGTCTTTGGCCATTGCTTTAATATTTACTCACATTGGAAGTTGTATACTGGTTTTGTTATTAAAAACTAATATATGCAAATGGAGTGAGAATTAAATGAAAGTATTTAAGTTGTAAAGGCTCTTTTCAACTGAATAGTGACTTGACTTCTTTCAAATTTTCACGTCTTCCCCGAGATGTTTCCCCTCAGCATAAATTCCAGGAAAATGTTTGAGGCTAAGCCACAACAGAGTATCTTTACACACTCCACAAAATCAGAAGAGATGGTGAAAAAAAGTATAAAAATACTTAATATATAAATTTCTGCTTTGCTCATAGTAATATGAAGGCAAACACACATTCAACAAGAAACGAATAATCTAATGTTTGAGCACTTAATTTTAAAAGCTCTAAAATACAACACTGAAAATTCTGAATAGTGATAGCTACAAATGCATTATTAGTGTTGCCTTAAGCAATACATTTTGTGTATGCAACAGCAAAGAGAGAAATTTAAGAAGATATGATAACTGAGGTTGGGCATATTCTTGAAATATTGTTCCATCTTGATGAGTTTAGTATGCAATTTTATTAGCTAGACATATTTATATGAAATTCAGGTCATAAAATGTGCAGCTTGAATCATTAAAGCATGCGAAATTTCAGAAGTTATGGTTTTCAGTTTAGCTAGTGAATTATACAGCAGAGTAGGAGAAGTTTGCAGCTTGATGTATAAATTATAATAGTGGATCAGCTAAGTGTGTATCTTCATTTAAAAAGATTTTTCAAAAAGGCAATCAAAATTCAGCATTTCCTTGGCTATTAAACTATTCAATTTCATCTGCAAACTGGCAAATGATGCAACTACAAGGGTATCCCATTCTATCTAAATGCTGAATAAGAGTTGTGTTTGCTTCTGAAGTAATCATGTCATTTATCACAGGTGGACAGGAAATCAAGAAAATATTTCCATCTCTACTAATGTGATAAATTCTGGCAAATTCCTATTTCCACATATGGAAATAGGAGAATATGAGAAACAAAATCATGCTTTGTAATACAACACAAATTCTATCAGATGTTGCAATTTATTTGGTATTTGAATTGTTATTAATCCATGCAGAATAATACAGGCCTCTTTCTTTACTGTATATGTGGCAATCTCTTCATTTCTAAAAGGCAATGGTCTACATGTCCATATAACAGATTGCTGTTATCTCAGACTGCAATTTGCTAGGTCACAAGATTTTAGCTCTCCACCGAAAGAAGTATGCACTTACCGTAGAATATATTGAGTTGTAAGGGACCTATAAAAACCATCACGTCCAAACCTTAGCTCCACAAAGGACCACTCAAAAATCAAACCATGTATCTGTAAGTGTTGCCCAGATGCTTCTTGAACTAATTGAATGGATATTTTGAATTCTTATATTTCATCTTTTTTCCCCATAATAATACAACTTTTCCAACTTTTGAAGTTGAACATTAATCATTGACATATTTACAGAATAGCTGAACTGTTACAATGTCATTCTGCTATGGAAATAATGTTATTAGGCAAGTTAGGTCTACATTTTATTCCAGAAAACTGTTTATCAGATCTGCTAAAGAATTTTAACAGAGCAGTATTACTGAAATCACTTCAAGAATTTTATAATGATTTTCATCACTGGAATTCTGTTACGATAATGATTTCTTTGTTCTCTCCCATTACTTCCTTGGGAAAGAAAAGGGAGAACACAGAGCTGACAGAGAAAAATGAAGGTAAATGCTGTGGTTGCTTAGAAACATGGATAAGTTTTGGTCCAATACTCAGTGTTCTTTGTCATGGAATGATTAATGAATGCGCAGTGTTTGTTTACTGCAGGAAATTAAGGCAGTAAATAAAAGCACTATCACTTTTACCCATCAGTTACTCTACAAGGACACAGTGAGAAATGTAAGATGAGAAAAGAACAAATAAACATTTTATAACTTGTTGGGTTTTAGCACAACCAAGAAGATAGCTTTAAATGACACATATAGGAAATATTTGAAATGAAAAAGAGACAAAGGACAAAGTTGTCTTTATGAATCAGAAAAGGCTCCCAGGAAATTTATATTGGTCACACATTGGCACAAGCTGCCCAGGGAGGTGGTGGAGTCACTGTCCCTGGAGATGTTCCAGACGTGACACTGAGGGACATGGTCAGTGAGCATGGTGTGGGTGAGCTGCGTTTGGACTTGGGGATCTCTAGTGGTCTTTTCTGGCCTTAGTGATTCTATGATTCTGGGAAGAGAGAAAATAAATATATCTTTAACAGTGAAACTGAAGTTAAGATTTTATGGTGTTAGACAGACTATATGTTTTGAAAGAAACAAGATGTGCTATATACTATATTCTACCCAATTCTGGCTATCACAAGTCGTACATCAAAGTTCATGACAGCAAAGATGTCAGCAGTGTCTAAATTAAATATGAGCTAATTTCATTTGGCCTGTCCCTATCCTGTCGGTAAACAGTATTTCATTTGTACTCACTCCAGTGTATACTATATTAATTATAATGGACAAGTGGAAAGCCATGAAGAAAAACTGCAGTACATTTACACATTTGAGACAACTGGAAGAATGTTTAGCAGCTGCAAAACTTTGGATAAACACACAAAAAAACAAATAAGGCTAAAAGTACAAGAAAAGTTCAAATGGATTCTCAAGGCTGAAATTTTATCTAAGTGATAGTGTTCATAATCCAAGTGGAGTTAGTTCCAGCTTCAGAACTCTAGATTTTATTCTTTCTTCTCCTTTATTAGTAAGATCTTGAGATGTAATGTTTCCTTAGGCATAAAGAAGATGTAATGTTTCTTTAGACATAAAGTTTTGACAGCAAATTATGCACTCTTGCAGATAGTGATAGTATGCTATTAATCTTTGCCCCTCTAGAGGGTGTGGCAGAGGAGAAATCTGTTTATAACGGAAGAAAAATAAATAAATAAATAAATAAATAAATAAATAAAGAAGAAATAAAGATAATGAAGAAATAAATAAATAAAACAATAAATGTATACATAAATGTGTGATTTATTTAGCTTATTTGTTAGGTACTCTATTACCTGGATCTGCTCCCCAGTCTTTTCTTTGTACTGTGACATATTGCTGTGATTGCTACCAGCAAGCCACATCTCATCTCCATAGGAGATGGTTGTGTGTGGATGAAAGTGCTCAGCAGTTCACTCAAGAACTACTGTGATTGATATTTTTGATGCTATCTTCCATACTTTCACAAGCTAGAACTGTGGATCCTATCCCACTGTGGATGGGATTGCCTATGTTCACTATTACATCATCACTTAAGTACATCACATGGATAATCACCTAAGGTTTTGATGTTTTCATAGCATCTAGATTAAAACCTGATTGAACTCAACTTACATCCTGAGAATCGCACTCCTGCACACTCTGGTTTTCTTCCTTTCTTGAGGCCATGTGCAGACTCTCTTTCTCTGCTGAGGCATTTTGCTGGATATGGAAAAAAAAAGAAAGAAAAGGAAAATTAAACCAACAGTTAATACAGACAAAACTTCATAAGAGTCAATTTAGAAAATCAGGAAATTACAAAGATCAGATATTGCAAACAGCTAACTACTAAATGCACTGCATTTTCCATAAGTTTTATAGAAAGGAATGTTTAATGTTCATGTTTTTGAATATTTAAAGGGAGGTGGGAGGCAAATGGATGAGGCCAGGCTCTTCTTGGTGCTGCGTAGTGACACAATAAGGAGCAGTGGCCTAAAACTTGAACATAGGAAGTTCCATACAAAAATATGGGAAGACTTCTTTATGGTAAGGGTGATGAAGCACCAGAACAGGATGCCCAGAGAGGCTACAGAGTTTCCTTCTGTGGATATATGCAAGATCCATCTCAATGCGTACCAGAGCAACCTGCTACTAACAAAGAGCAACCTGTTAGTAACAAAGAACAGTGCTTGATAACAATGAACAACTTAAATAAAAATTTCTCTTCCATCAACGTTTAAATGGGGGGAAGAAAGAGAAGTGTAAAGGAGAAAAAAAAAAAAATTTCCAAACTCATATTTCTGTGCTTCTTGTGAAATAATGGATTATCATTTCATAACTGGTCTTTCATCTGTACTGAGTTATTTGCCTGTTTGGGCAGCAATCATAGCACAGTTCTGCAAACTTCAATTTCCTCTTATTGAATAAGATGGCTATACGTGCATTGAATGATTCACAGCACAGGTACAGCACACATTAACCTGATTTCTTGACTACCTACAGCAGTAAATCTACACAGGAGTCTAGGAAAACCAGTCAGCTTGAACCTTTATTAACAGGAGAAAATAAACACCTCTGCCTAGATATCAGATTTCTCAGCATGTCACACTACAAAATGAGGGAAGTCTAAGAGATTTAGGGGAGACTGCCACCAAGGAAGCATTTTTCCCATGTCTTGCTTTCAAATACTACTGCTAATAAACAAAATAAAAACATTTCCCATTCTCATCTGATAACACTACAATCTGAGTGTAATGCTTTATCCTAGAAACTTCATTTGTTGTATGATTTCTACTTGACAGGCAGCACATCATCCAAGCTACTGCACAACAATCATCTCCAAATACTTTTCATATTGTTACTCTATGCTAACATTGATCTGTATATCTTGAGATCTAGATTGAAATGCCATGACACTTCTTGCATGGGTCCAAGGTTACCAGAACCATAAAGACAAAAAGGAACAGAAGATGGGAAGGAGTTTTGCCAAGTCCAGATTAGTTCCCATAGATTTGAGTTCTGTTCTTACAGTCAGAATAGCATAGAACATTCTCACATTTTATGCAGGAATGTTTAATCAATAACATTTCAAAGCTGAGATTGACTTCTTACACCAATCAAGGGGAAAAAAAATCAATATTAAAATAAAACACCAATACTTTTGAAGGTTTATAAGTTTGCTGATTATGCAGGAAGTTTTCAGTAAGACTTTGCAAACAAAAGTCTTCTTGAAAGAACAACAACTCTTTATTATTAAAAGAAGTCTCTCATAATAAGAAAAGAATATCCTATTCTCTGCCGGAATGAAGTCCATTTACTAGATTGACAGCTAACCTAATGAAAATGCCACCAAGTGCTCTGGAGCAAATTGATTTGGAAACAGTTTCTGAATTCCTTCCCAATTTGTCCAGAGCTTTTTTGAACTCTCCCCAAAACTTATCTATCCAGGATTTCACATGTGAGTATTTTTTAAAGGACCAGCAGTCCTTAAACCTTTTTTTCTTGGAAATATTTTTAGTTCCAAAATCTTCCTGGTGAGACTTCACAAACCTGACTAGAAAATGAAATAAGTTGAAATAACTTGAAATAAGTTACATTTTTACAATGCATTATGCACACATGCTTGCTCATGGAACCCACTGGTGCTCGCTTGGTTTGTGGTCAAAATTTCAGAATACTTACACCTGAAAAGCAAGCCAAACTGATCAGTTCTTTCAGTTCTCTTCCAAAGTCTGTATTGGAAGAAGCTACAGAGCCTGTCCCTGCTACAAGCCTTTGGCATTCATTCACTTATACTTTGTACATTCTTTCACTTCCAATGTCTTACAAATGTTCTTCTCAAAGCCTGTATTTTTATTGTACTAGCCTCACTTTATGGCTAAAGAAGACCAGAAAGTTAAATCAACAGAATCCCACCTTCTATAATCTTTTGACTTTGAAACACAGCTGAACTCTTTCCTATTGCAGAGATGATCGCAGAATGGCTTGGGTTTGAAGATGGTTTCAACCCTCTGCATGATCATGTTATCCAATCCTGCATCTTTCCTCATGGTTTTTCAGCATGACTGTACCTCTCCTTCTCTAGTCAACATTTGGTGATAGGAGATGTCACAGTTACATTGACAGGTCTACTCGCCAGATGATTTGCCCACACAAACCAGCACATTTATGTCCTGTAACTTCAATCATCAGGTCATTCTTTTCCACAACAGGGGTTTCTATTGATATTCAATTTTCATGTTAAAGAAGTACTTCAATTAAGGATACTCATAGGATCTAATAAAATAATTGTACGGCATTTTGAATGTAAGAAAAACAAACTAAGCAATTTCCTACTGAGCAGAGAGAGGTTTATAATAACTTAATAAAATAAATAAATCAGTTGCATAAGAACCAAGATAGTTTTTCTACAGTGACATACACCATTATGACAAGCATATCCATAGTCTGGACTTTCAGTCCAGGAATCATTGGAGTTTTTCCAGAAACAGCTTTGCACTGGCCCAAACATACAAAATAACACACAGAGAAAGCCTGCAAGCTAGCAGGCATGCCTGCTCTACCTGGCTATACTTCATTACATTAGACAGCTGCCTGGAGCAAGATCAGCTGCAGAGCCCTCTAGGCTGGGGGTGCTGGCATTCACCTCCTTCCAGAAAGGCTGCTAACCACGAAAACTAGAAACATGTAAAACAACCAATGCCAGAGCTGTGATAGAATCTTAGAACCATGAAGGTTGGAAGAAATCTCTAAGATCCCCAAGTTCAACCCCATACCATCTCCGCCATGCCCACTAACCATATCCCTAAGAACCATATCTCCATGTTACATGAGCACTCCAGGAATGGTGACTCCACCATCTTCCCGGACAGCCTGTGCCGATGCAGTACCACTCCTCAATTTTTCCCTGACATCCAACCCGAACTCTGGAAACCAAGGAATTCATCTGCAAACCACTGGCATGCACAGGCCAGTTATTCAAGAAAAGATGTTGATTCTATCATCTTTCCCTTCCTCCTCTTTTTACTTCCAACCTTTGCAATTGCAAAAGTAGAGTCACTGTTTGCATCGTGCAGTAGAATTTGTACTTGCTCTCCTAGCTCTATGAATTTCAGACATTTTAAAGGGGTAATCTTTTAAATCTCTCCACAACAGAAATCACAGATAAATACATATGATTGCCTGCAAAGAAAAATAAAGCAAGTCACTGTAACACATTTTTAATACCCTGATTATAAATTCTTTCACAGTTTAACTCACACACAGAAATACATGAAAAGTCCAATTCTAATAACAAACCATTGCACTATGTATTACTATGATGGTAATGGGTCACTGCATATGCATACATATATTTGTGTGCATCTGTATACATATTTAAAAGAGCTAACTAACTTTTCTCTACTAAATAGTCAATACTATTCACCAGTAAGAGGAGAGACATAGTTCACTTTTCTTTTCTACTCATTTCCACATCACAACTACAGAGTTATGTTTACATAGGGCAATTCATCTCAAAGGACTGCAAATCCAATGGCATACAAGATATTTAAATTTCTACATACTGTTTCTTAAACAAACAGAATTCCCTTTTTTTTTTTTGTTTACACTATACTTAAACATCTTTGAGGTGGAGAATATCTGCTTTCTCATATACATTATGCCAACACCGAACATAACAATTACAAGTTTTTACAAAGAATCCAGGAAAAACTCAGTTCCAAGGAAATTGAAAATTGTAAGCACAACTTTAACATGAACAATGAAGTAACATTTTCCTTTCTTCACTTTTCATGAGTGTGTTAGTTATAAAGGAATTTCTCAGAGATGAATGTTTATGATAAGCTCACGTGGCTGAACATCCATCAGAAGGAGAGGATTTATTCTTTCAAATTGATCTTCGAGATGAGATGAGTTATATTTAGATGGGCTTATTTCCTGAAGCATCCTTTTCAGAACATTAGTATGAGTGCACTATTTTCCCTCACATATGCACCTGCCTCTCTTAGTATTATATTATCTCGTGTACAATATAGGCATTCTGGCATTTTGGTATGAAATTCTTTTTCTCTTGAAAAACTACTCTAGAAGAAGAAAAAAAAAACTTCATAAAATCTTATTGCAAAGAGCCAGGGAAGGGATCCTGAACATTTCTAGCATCATTTGGAGCATTTCCTAGTACATCACAATTTTCCCAGTTAAAGTGAGTCTCCTCAGGAAAATAATACCTGAAACAGGCATGAAAGAGGCACAGTAGTTGAAAATAACGACAGTTTACCTTCCTCTGGTAATTTACAAAATATACTTGCATTTTCAGAATGGAATGAAAGTCCTTTACCAATGTACAGCAAACTAGAGTTTAAGCTGATGTTGAAATACCTCCAATGGTAGAGCAAAGCCCTTCTACAGAAATTGATGGGTAGCTATTCTAGGGCATCTAAATAGGCAATAGAGGACTGTTCAAACAGTCACCAAAATACAATGCTACCTGCATATGAAAAGAAGCCATATCTGTCCACTGTGTTATTGTGCTCTGAATTCCATTGTTCTTTTTCTAGCACAGCTCATTTTGAGAGCATTGCATATTTCATAATTTAACCAAATGCTTTCCAGTAGAACTTTCAACTGACATTTTTCTGTTGCCCAACCTGTATCAATTGCATTTTCTTATGTTTCCACACTCAGTTTAGGAAAAGAAAGAAAACAAAAAACTCTCATGAAAA